TGTATATCTGCTGACTGTAATATCACACATGTAGAGAGTGTGTCTGTGTCATACATAGAATACAAAATACGTTAACAGAATTTTAAGTCACAAAGACAAAAGTTAGCAAATGTCAGAATTAAGTGCCTGTGCTACCTTAGCTGTTAGCATTTGAGATTTATAGCTGTGTACTATTCTGTGGTCCTGCTGTCCAGCCTACCTGTCTGCTCCCTATCTCCACTCCTTATGGAGACAAGAAGAGCAGATGGGGGTCAAAGAGGCAGTGCGAGAATGGAATTACATGGTGGAGGCCTGCTCCAATACCAGATTCCTTACCAGTTTCCTGCCATATGTGCATCTGTTAGGCTGGATGGGTAGTCTTTTCCAGGCTGCTCATGCATACTTCAGCCAACCAGCTGACCCTCCATCACTTCTCCTTGGCCATCAGGAAGGAATCCTGGCCTGACAGACATGAGAAGCTCCGTGAGCCTAGGTCAGCTCTTGGTGAATCTGAGTAGTAACTATTATGTCATGGAGTAAGTGCTTGCAGGATGAGGCCCTTAATTATATCCTTACTATTAATAAGAAAATAGAGGATGGATTCAGCGCTGGCACTTTTCTACTCTGGATTAGGAGTTGTCTTCTGAGGATCTTCTTTGAAGTATGTTTCGCTATATTTGTTGTTAAGCAAATACCTGGCTATTTGAAACCCCCATAATTAACGAAAACATGGCATTTTGCATAATCTGCCTTTGTTTCATCCAAAGTATTATAGTATTGCTGAACTGATTTCTGACTTACTGCAGTGTAGCCATTGTGGATTTCTAGCTAACATGCTTGTCAGTATTCTTATAATCCAGTACTGCCATATTGCAAGAACACATGAGCCCCAAAGCAAAATGTAAGATAACAAATTCAGCCAGTGAAAAAGGTGAAAATTGACTTCGAGGTGATGATAGAATGGTGAGAAGTTAGAGCTTCGGAAATTTTCCCTGGTGTTGTCATCCTTGTACTCTATCTTAATTTGAATTGATGTGAATATAGGATAGAAAATCTCAAAATCTGTGGGGTTTAATACAAAGATATATGCTACCATAGGTTTTAAGAAAATCCTAACTATACTGCCGTATAGAGCAACTGCGCTAACCAGACTGTTGAAAATAGTTTTAGAATATCAGGGTTTTCATGTCAAATGTTCACTTTGTTTTTATATCCTTTAGCTAATAATCAAAATGTCATTAGTAAAGAGCAAGCAACTTAGGAGCCCAATCCTGCAAACATTTATACACAAGTGGGCCCTCTGAACTTCATAGGATCGCTCACATGTCTAAAATTGCTCACTTACGTGTTTGCAGAATCAGATCCTAAGATCCCATTTCTGCGATGGGCTCTTCACAGGTAAATGTCTGCATCCATTTGAGCTTCACCACCTTCAGTGGGACTCTGGGTGGCTTCTGTTTTTGCAGTATGACAGTACTGGATTATAAGAATACTGACAATGGGGAGCTCATGCTGGCACTCCAGCCTGTGTTGGTGGGGCGCACCAGTGCTGGCTCTACAATGCTGGGGTGGGGGAGCCTTGAGTCTTAGGAGCCAGATTCAGGCAAGCCATGTGCCAGAGCTGGTCCCTGGGCCATAGGTTCCCCACCCCATGGGAGAATTTCCTTTCACTTTTCCTCTTTGATACACCAGTAATGAGGACCAAAAATTCTAGCATAGACAGAGCAATATTTCTCTCTCATTTGTCTTTTATAGGAGCAAAGGAAAAGAAAGATGCAAGGTTATTTAAATAGCAGCCTGTAAAGCTAGTTCTAACTAAGAAGGCAACTGTTAATGGGGTGAAGTTCCAAAAAAAATACACCTCCAAAACACTGCCAGATGGAGGTTAATAAGCAAGGCAGAGGTAGGTTTGGTGGCCACCAGCAAGGTCCAGGGAATACAAGCTGATGAGTTGGTCTGATACAAACTATATAGCAGCCATAAAATGGGAGAGGGTATTTTCATTTATCAGAATGCTATTTTTGCAGGACCTTTACTGTCATAACAGTCTTTGGCTACGAGCATTTCTCTCATAAATGTGGAAGTACTCTTTGCTTTAGGTGTTGGCCAAAAAAAGAAGCAGGTTTTTTTGGGTCTCTTCCTCCTCAAGAGCCTCCTGACTATTGTAAAAGTCCCCTCTACAATATTCTTTTCTCCATAGCTTCCTGACTTCTGTGCAAAGGGCGAGTGGCAATATTACAGGTGCTCCATGTTTTTCAGTTCCATATGGTTTCTATGTTTTTCTAGACTTAAGTCCTGATACTCTGGTCCTTGTAGATGTATCTATTAGGGATGTTAAATTTTGATTAATCAGCTAATTGAGTAGTTAATGGAATTTCCATCGACGACGTGGTAAGTTGATGTGGGTGGAGGGGCTACTACATGTGGTTCTTACTTCATTTAAAAGGCAGAGGCGCAGCAGTGGGGTCCTGGCATGAGTGGGGACTGCTTCAGTTCCCACTTACGATGTTTTGACTGCTGCGCCTCTGCCGCCCCTGTCTCCCTGAGGAGATGAAGCTGGTTTCCCTCCCAGCATTGGCTCCTACTCCCCCATTTGCTGCCTCTGTATCAGAGGCAGCCAAGGGGGGAAGCGACTAGTCGAGTAGTAACTTGATTACCCGATAAAAGTAGGCTTATTGGGTAGTTGACTAATCGCTTATATCCCTCGTATCTATTTTCTTGGTTTCCCTGTTTTTAATACAAATAATAAACTATTGTTAGGAATAGAATGTTTTGTAATGAACTTATTAGAATAGACAGAAATTTCAGTTTGAACAGTGAACATGAAGAACAGTGAGTCTATTTTTGTGGAAAGGTGTAACATTGTTGGAAATGGCAGAAGGCTTTGAGGACTTCACAGCATGGTTTGTGATTCTATCTTCAGACTTTCCCTCACAAAGTCCTGCATTTTGTACATGGTAGCTGTTAGAAATAATTTGAGGCTGAGCTGGCTTTTTTTTTGGCTGGATATTAATGGTCTTTTGAGTAAACAAGGCTTAGAGAGAGAATCGCTTAGGGAGAGAGTGATGGAAGAGGCGAAAAAAGGGGAAATGAAGTGGCCTCAAAAGACAACCTTTTTGATGGTAAAGCTCACTAGTTATTGCTGGCTACTTCGTATGCCTATTTGTGAATACCTCATTTCAATTTTCATTTGTATATTCTAAGTCAAACACTTATTTGGAGTATGAACAAGTCTGGGAAGTATAACGGTAATGAGTTTTTGTTTTTACAGTTCTGGTTTTCTGAACAATGATTTATGCAGACTAAGAACTGGGCATTTAAATAGACTGTCAAGGATGGTTTGTAGAACTGTGGTGGACAATAGGCTTTTCTTGACATTTCTTTCAGTTAAAGATTGAAAAGTGTACCCTAATATGTCTTTGAGTTTGGGGATGAAAAAGAATATAGTATTTAAATAGTGTATGTTGACAGAAATACTAATTTTACTTGGAGATATGGATTCCATCATCACAGAGGGTTACATAAGAACTGGGACTGTGTTTTAAACATGGAGTTCGGGTCATTTGTATTTATTTCTGTTGATTAAACTAATTTTAAACAAGTAATTTTAGGTTAAGCAGCCTGTTTATCTTTCTAATTTTATAAACAAACTAAAATACAATTTAAAGTTGTGCTTGAATGTGTTATGTTTTCCCACTGTTAATGAGCTAGGAATGCAAGAGTTAAACTGGTTAACCAGTAAGCTGATGCTTATCAGTTCCTGTTAATTGTTAAACTTTGTGGGTGGGGAGGATGCTACAGGGCCATGGTTAACCATGTAACTTAGTGTTGTCGTCAGTTACACAGTTACTACTCAAACTTTTTTACATCCCTATAATGAGCTTCAGTGTAAAATCCACAGAATATACATAATTACAAGTTTGTAAATAAATGTAGAAAATGCTATGTTTCAATTCATTAATATTTTTCTGAGTTATGTAGTTTCTATCCAGATCATATTGGCAAGCTAGCTAATAAGAAACATATGTCAGCCTTAACAGCAATTGTTTCTGGTTAGTTATGCACAGTGTGTAATACCAAATATGAATATTATGTGAACTTTTTTGTTTTGTCTGGTATCACTTTATAGCTATTGTGATGATCAGACTTGCTTGCCTTTTGATTTTAATATCTTAATGTGCTTCTCGTAGCTCATTATTTTTTTGATTATTTGTGCCACTTTTAGTATGTCATCTATCAACAGTTTTATGTTGTTTCCGAAAATTAAAATACGGCTTTCCCTGAAACAAAGTACTGTTTTTGCTCTCTTGCAGAGGAACCCAAGCTGAGACATGTAGAAAAGGATGTTTTAATTCCAAAAATGATGAGAGAGAAGGCCAGAGAGTTATGTTCAGATCAAGTGCAAGGTAAGATTTAAATATTTATCAGAAGACCGGAGTTTAATCCTTCACCTCAGTCAAATGATGATTTATTATTTATGATTGGCTTCCTATCCATTTGCTGAGAACAGTGTTGAAGCTTACAAAATTGTCAAGAGTGGCTTTGGTTGACTTACATTGTAAGCTTTTTACTAACATACTAGACTAGCAAGGCACTTCGATAGAAGCTGAGTTTGTCTTGAGGGAAATCTTTCCTAGTTTTTGTCTGTAGCAGTGATCTGTAGCCTAAGGACCACGTGAGGCCATCAGGGTTCTGTATGTGGCCTGTGAGACATTTTGTTTACCATTGCTCACGTGCAGGGTTGCCAGATTTTGCTGGTTTCCATCTGTGTAGGTTTTTGTCTATCTCCACTCCTAAAGTGACACACAAGTAAAGCAAGGACATGTGAAGTGAGATGCATGCTGATTGCAAACCACATTGACTGTGAGAGCCATGTGCTCCCTTTGCATCCAGTCAAATTGTGGATATGGTTCAACTGGCACACCCTGCAAATTCTAGATGCGCAAGCGCAGTTAGCAAAACTATCCTTGTCTATCATGTTCTTGGGGCCCACTGAGATGAAGGGCCACTCATGCAGCCTGCTCACTAGCCTAGGTTGCCCATTGCTGATCTGGAGAGTGTGGATCTGGAAGAGGAAAACTAAATCAATGGTTTTAGCTTTGCTAAAACAACATCTTCAGTGTTCCTTTAGTGACAATGGACTTCCCACATGTAATCAGTTTACAAGAGGGATTTCTGGCTCTATCATCACATACTGCTGTTCAAAAGAATGTTTCTTTCAGATGTTCGCTACTTGACACGAGCCTTAGAAAAATTAAGTTATGACAGATGAGGGAAGAGATTAATATTCTCATACTAACAGTTGGAGTTTTTTCTATGACTAGCATTTTTGGATGATAGCATTGGCCAATTGTTACAAAGCATATTTTTCTATTTATTTCTTTTGCTAAAAGGAGATTTCCTTATTTTGGAGTTGATTAATTTTATCTTGTAGGAATTGTAACAGAGAGAGTGGGACATAGCCAGCATGTTTCTCAAAATTTAACTGATATATCCAAATGATAGACTAGTACAGGTTGGACCTCCTTGTCCAGCACCCTTGGGACCTCACCAGTCCCAAAGGAGGGAGTTTGCCCGACCATGGGAAGTTGGTCCCTCTGATAACAGATGCTGGGCTCTCCCTGCCTCTAGGACCCTTGGGTTTTCAGCTCTGCAGCCAGCCCCAGGACATGGGGCTTCACTGCCGCATGTGACTGCCAGGGGTCAGCAACTAACTGCTCCCTGCCACTGGGCTCTCTGGTCCAGGTTCTTTCTGGTCCAGCAACATTCATCATCCTACCAAGCCATGGATGTTGCCAGATCAGAGCCTCTCGAACTAGAACAGTTCAACCTGTAGTATAAAATATTTGAGAACATAAGTGTTACATGCGCAGGCTTTTTGGAAGGGTCTAAATGATAGCCTAGTTTATCTCCAGCTAAGTAGAAAAAGTCACTATGAGAGAAGAGCAAACATTTGTGGGAAGAGACTTCCTTTGTCTCTTTGGGTACATCTACATAACAGGACTATTTCAGGATACTTCCAGTATCTTGGAATAGCTACCCTGCATCTTTTTGAATGCACCTGCTATTTCAAGATAGTGCGTCAGCTATTTCAAGACCTATTTCATCCTCCCTGTAACGCTAGTTTCATGAAGGTTAAGGGATGTCTCAAAAATAGTGTGTTTTGAAATTTGGTGCTGCGGAGACATGCCAGATTTTGAAATATGCTATTTCTAAATTCAGTTGAAGATACGAAAATTGCTTATCTTATTTCGAGTTTAGGATGCTGTGTAGACACACCCTTTGTCTGTGAAGGGATATAATCACATCCAGGTATGAATGAGCTCCCCTGAGCTAGTTTCATCTTAACAAGACATACCTGCAAGGCTCTCTCAGCCTGGAGGGGAATGAATGAGAATCAGGGAGAAGGTTGCTCCATCCAAGGGAATCCAGTTGAAGGGCCATGGATGAGATGCACTGCTGTTGAAGCTGCCCTGACTGATAGCAGTAAGCCTCAGGACGAGGGGTAGAAGGTAAACCCCAAGGAGGGCTCACAGATTGAGAGAGACTGAGCCGTTAGAATCAATTCTCCAGGGGCTGCCCAAGAGGCTGGTTCTTATTCCAGCCAGACCTTCTTCTCTTTCAAAGGGAAGAACAGGAGTCAGACCTTGGCCTGTAGGCAGTAGCTTGCAGAGGGATTTGCTGAGAACTAGGGGAAAGGTGTAATGGGGTAAAGAATGGACAGTAGGACTTGGGGAGGAGGGGACAGCACAAAGTCTGCCTCCCTTCCCCCCACGGAGCCAGAGTATACCTCTGATATACAGTACATCTGGCATAAGTGCTTATGGTGAGAAAGCATAGATCTGAGTAGAGGAATCAACTAGGAAGAAACCCAAAGAATATACTCTGCAAGGAGCCCTGGGGACTCATGAGTTACATAAAGATCACCAGCACTGTTGGATAAATTTTGTGTAGCGAGGTAACCTAGTCTGATTAAGGGGAGAGAAGTAAACATTAGAATATAAAAAAAATGAATAGGGTAATGGATATATAAAAAACAAATAAAGAAACAAATTCTCCCCCCAAAGACATGCACTATCGCAGTTGCCAGGATGTAAGAAAATGAACTCTGAGAACCTCTATTAGTGCTACAAAGATATGGACACACCATGGGAAATACAGCATTGCTTTAGGACATGGAGAATCGTGGAAGAAGATATGGGCCGTTCTTGGAATAACAGTCTTCTCCGGAGTCCAGTTGATCAAAACAGTACAATAGTTTGAGATGATGTCCCTTTTTAAAGTAAGTAAGTTCCTTTAATGTAGCATGCAGTTGAGAAAAGGGAAGGAACTGACACAGGATTCTCACCTCTTTCTATTTTGTCAACCCCCTAACCTGAGGGGTCACTCTATATGTGACACAGAAAAAAGGACAGTGGTGCTATAAGAAATGCAAAAAGAACCAAGTTCCGCAAACAGAGTAACTGAGAGTATGTGCCAAAAGAAATGGGATCATGTAATGGGTAGAGTTCCAAATCTTCCAGGATTTATCTTTGGAAACAACAATGCCACAGAAAGAGAAAGTGAGAGTTTTAAAGTAAAAACTTCTCAAATTCTGTTAAATTACAATTCATGATAAACCACCCACCCCAAATATAGTAATTCAGTATGTATGTGATGTGCTTTATTTAGGGTTGTGTTTAACTCTCGAACAAGTTGTCATGGGGTGTGAATGAGAGTGAGTCCTTCCCAAAGAGGATATCAAGAATATTTCAAATTTGAGGTGCTTTTTATTTTTTTCCAGTTTCTCGGGTTTTGGGGACAAACCAGAGAAATGATGATTGTAGATAATTTAGTCTATGTAAAATAAGGCAAAGCTGCAGTACACACGAGACTCCTTTCCCTTCCACAGTATAGATTGAGAGCCCCTCTAGTACATCTAGCATCTCTCTTTAGTTTCTTGCCTTCGTAAGTCATAAAACAAAATGCTAGATGTATTTTTATTCTCATCACTGAGCAAAACATATAATCTCTTTTACATTAATATATTCTATGGTGGGGCTAATTCTATGGTGTTTTTAATTCCATCGTGAAATTAGTTCTTGGACAAAAGTGTGTCTCTTGTTAGTGTCTGTCTGCACTCTTTTGAGGGAGGGACCAAATGCAGACATTTGAAATTGCAAATGAAGCCAGGATTTAACTATCCCATGCTTCATTTGCATATTTGCGTTATGGCACTATTTCAAAATTTAAAAAAATTTAAAACAAATGTTTAAAATGTTTTTCAAAGTATAATCACTAATCCATCCAAACCTTATTTCCTCTCCAACAAAGTGGTTCTTCCATTGGCAAGATCCAATCATGAGTCCATGCTGACAGTTTGGATGTTTTGGGGCCCTGCTTGTATTGGCAAACTTTGAAGACTGGGCATGTGACTAGTCAAACGTCAGAGTGTTGCTTGGAAGCCCTATTTTATGTCTGATTTGGATTACCAAAATTAAAATGTTTTCTTTCTTGTCATCTTGGTTTTGTGAACTAGACCTTACATGTAATTTTATAAGAGGTTAGAGTTTATTATTTCTGCAGAGGGGAGAAAGATTTGTATTATAGGAGATGTTACCATCCATTGTGATCCTAAGAATTTCTTGGGACAAAGAGTTATAATGTGAAAATTTTCAAAATGATTTCTGGGGCCAATAAAAATGTATAATTACAAAGAGCAACTGTAGATACAAATGGCTGAATAAAATCCTCTTAAAAGCATTTGGCATGCTAGCAAATAGGAGTTAGGAAAATGTTGCTGGCAAAGGGCATTTCCTAATTCCCCTCCCCCAATTTCCCCATTAGCCCTCCTCTGCCCAGGGCCCACATTGATACTTAGTGAAGGTGATGGGATGCAACACTACTGCAGGCTCCCCTACAGTAGAGCATGGCCAATGTCAACCATAGTTTTAGTTATATGCACTTACTCAACAGTCCTGTCACTGGGATAATTTCTGTCCCTCTAGGGGCCACCTGCTCCAGACCATGACCCTTGCACCTGACATATCAAGACCCACAAAAGGAGAGCAGTTCCTAAGCTTGGACAACACTGTGGTGCTGCATGTTTAAATGCCCAAGGACACCTTAAGTAGCGCTTTGTTCCATATAAATAAGTGGCTTATGTTCTCTTACAAAAAATGTAGATAAGAAAATGTGTGAAATACTTAGTAGATCTCAGCTTGATGCTATTCACTGTCATTGCTCATTCTCTTTTGTAATAAAAAGGACCAAGTTCCATTAATCAATGCAAACACTCTCCAGGTGTTGGGACAAATTAACCTGTTGGTTTCTGCAATAGGGTTCTGAAGCACAGCTAACATTAGTTGTTTGGTCCATCATTGACAGCACCAAGAGTTTTAGGATACGTTTGCCAGATAGCTAACAT